ACTGAAAGGGAATTACAAGTGAGAAGAAAGGAAGTGGTTGCCATTAGAGAAGAAGAATTTTTCTAGGTGTTTGACTGTGTAAAGGGTTAGAGATACACAAGGTGCTGGTATGAATGTCAAGGTCAAGAGCCAAAAAAAAGTCATCAGTTTTGTTTTTTGTTTTTTTAAATCTCCCAAAAACATGATCTTTCATGAATGTAACAGAAGTCACTAAAGGGCTTACAGAGTCCTCTCCACTGCGTTAACCTTTCAACTACACACTTGTAGTGTCTCAGGTGAAGAGAACATGTCTATTGTCTCTTTGAAATCCAAAAGGTAGAGTTCCTCTCAAAACTGAAATTCTGACAATTTAAAATGGGCCAATGGAGAAGGAAAAAAGGAGTTGGCTCTCTGTGGCTACTCCTGACTTTTTAATCTGCCTTTCCCTTTCCTTTCTCTCCCTAGAGATCTGAGTTCCCCAAAACTCTATTTTTGGCATTCTTCTCCTCTATATTTTTGGCATTCTTCTCCTCTTCCCTGGTGAACTAATCGACTTTTACAGCTTCAAATGTATTTATGTAAATGTCTACAAAATCTATAGCCTCAGGATTACTTCTTTATCTAGTTCCATACTCTCACTTCCAACTGTTAACCAGGTTGTCTCAACAGTACCTAACTCAATATGTTCAAAACTGAGCTCACTGTATCTCCCCAAAAACTTACTCTTCCTCCTGTCTTCCCTATCTTTCTTAATAGTACTACCCTTCTCAGTCACTCATACTTGAAATTTTGGAGGTATTTAAGACCCTATCATCACTGTCTATTAGATATCTACTACATCTCCTGTATCTGTCCCCACCTTTCTAATGTCACTGACACCGTGCTACTTCAGACCTCATTAACCTTTGCCTAAACTATTATAATAGCATTTAACTCCCTACCTCTAGTTTCTTAATACTCTAATCCAAGGGTTTTAAACTGGGATCCATAAACACTTTTAAAATTTTATAGCTGTATTATAACATAACTGATTTCCCTTATAATGCCATTAATTTTATTTTGTTAAAAACATTATTCTGAGGAATCCAGAACCTTCAACAAACTGCCAAAGGGGTTTTTGATATTAAAAAAAAGTTGAGCCTCTGCTCTACTGCATCCTGCATGCTATCGGATCAAAGAATCGTATGATACTGAACTGGAAGGGACCTTAGAAAATCATTCAGCCCTCATTTGAAAGAAGAAAAAAACTAAGGCCCAAGAAGGCAAAGAGAATCACCCAAGATCACAAAGATAGTAAGCAGAAGAGCCAGGATTTGAACCCAAGTCTTATCTCTCCAAACCCAATGATTTTTCCACTGTACTGTGAAGCTTCTATTGATACTCCCAATAGCTGAATTCTAAATCCAAGTTACTGGGCAAATATAATTTGCAAATGTAAATAGGCAACAAATTGGCATGAATGTTATTTGTGTATTTCAGACTGTGGCAATTAAATTAATGTGCCTTGCTAACCCACCAGGTATATAACCTTCCACTCCTGCTCCCAAATGTAATCAAGGCACTTTCTGATTGACTGAGTGACTGACCTTGCAGCCAAAAAAACCCCATGCTAACTACTGAAAAAAGTTGAAAATTCATTCAAGGATCTTCACAATCTGGCTTAAATGTATCTTTCCAGTCTTATCTCACTTCTACCACCCTTCAGGTGAACTACACTTCTAACAACTGGACAATTTTCCTCTCCCCAAACATTCAGGGCTTTATAATCTCCATGCCTTTACTCACACCATTCCCCACACTTGGAGTGCACTTCCTTCTTGACCCCAAATTTCCCCCACTGAAATCCTACCTATTCTTCAAATATCCACTCTTCTGTGAAATCTACCTGGCACATAGTAAGTGCTCAATAAATGTTTATTGATTAACTCCTCCTCCCAGAACTATTTGTTCCTTCCTCTGAAGTCTCACAGAATTTTGTTTTTGCTTTTCACATATTAATCACACATTATTTTACATTACATTTTGATCCACTTATTTTTCTTTTGCCTAGCAGACTTTAAACTCCTTCAGAGCCATATGTAATTTTCATCTTTGTATTCCCCCCCTCAGTATCTAGCATAATAGTAAGCAGATAGTGAAAACTCAATAAATATTTATTTAATTAGTTTTCATCAAGCTTCTGAGCTACTGTCAGTAATTTTTGAAGGTAGTGGAGAATATGAAAGATGTGGAAGAATGAGATGTAAAATATCTTTCCAATTTTCAAAAAGGGAAAAAAAGATATTTCTACAAATTATAGCCCAGTAAGATTAATCTTGACTTCCAGTAAAATTCTAGCAAGATTACTTAGACAGATAACATGCAAGCATTTAGACAGAGATCATAGGATAGATTTACGGCTGAAAGGGACCTTAAGAGGCCATTTACTATAAGTTTTTCATTTTACAGATGAAGAATCTGAGGCCCAGAGAAGTGAAGTGACTTGTCTGAGATCAGACAGGGACTGACAGAGGTGAGATGCAGACCCAGGTTCTTTTATTACAAATCCACCCCCCTTTCCACGGCACCATGCTGCTTCCCAGGCACACTAAGTACAGCAACATCAGGTCACTTCTTCATTTCCATTTTTACCAGTATTGAGATGAAGAATAAAAGAAACAAATACCTACTATGTGCCAGGCACTGTGCCAAGCACTTTACAAATATTACTTCACTTGATCCTCACAACAACCCTGCGGAGGAGGAGCTATTATCCCCATTTTACAGTTGAGGACACTGAGGCAGTCAAAGGTTAAGTGACTTGCCAAGGGTTATACAACTAGTAAGTGTCTGATACAGGACTCCAGGCCCAGTGCTTTATAAACTGTGCCACCTAAGCTGCTGCAGATATAGTTTATAGTCATTTCAACAAGCTATTTGACAAAGTTGTTAGTGATAAACTTGTAAAAAACAGGAATGAATGTAAGCCAGATCATAACAGAGTTAAGAGGACTTCATTGAAGGTACTTAAACAACTGCATCCAAAGAGCATGTTGAACAATGGATCAATGTCAACCCTGAAGAAAGTCCATAGTGCTAAACTATAGGACCCTGTCCTCAACACAACAATGAATTGGATGAAGATGAAAATGGCATGCCTATATCAAATACAAAAATATTTCAAGCTAAAATAATAGATAAAATATAACATGCTGAATTCAATCAGGATAAATGTGAAGCTCTGCACTTGAGTTTAAAAACCCAAATACAAAATGGAAATTTGTTTACTGGTAGTTCATATGAAAAAGATAGATTTTTTTTCAGTTAATTATGAGCTCAAAAGAATCAACAGTGATGTGATGCCAAAAAAAGCTCGTGTGATCTTAGGCTACGTTACAGAAATACAGTATAAGGTATAAAACAAGAGAAGTACCAGTCCCCTGTCTTCTATACTGACTAGACCACAACTAGAATACTGTTTTCAGTTTTGAGCAGCATATTTTAAGAGGAACACTGACAAAATAAAGTGGATCCATTCAAAGGTTAATCAGAATGGCGATGAGCATGAAATAATGGCACAAGGGAAAAAAAGAAAATAATAACAAGAGTAATACTGAACATGTATATTGCATTTTAAAATTTGCAAAGCACATTACAAATATTATCTCATTTTATCCTCATAACCCTAGGAGGGTAGGTGCTATTATTGACACCATTTTACAGTAAAGAAACTGAGACAAATAAAGGTTAAAGTGGCTTGCCCAGGTTCACACAGCTAATAAATGTCTGAAGCCACATTTGAATTCAGGTATTCCTGACTCTCAAATCCAATCCTCTATCCACTGCACCACCTAGATGCCCCCAAAAATGTGATGTTTATAGCCTGAAGAAGATTTAGAGGACTGAACAGGGCTTGAATATTTGAAGGGTTATCATGAGAAAAAGGAATTAGATTTATTCTGCTTAGTTCCAGAAGACAGAACTGGAACCAATGGATAGAATATAGATAGGTAAATATCAGTTCAACATAAAAACCAGCCAGATAAACTAACAACAGAGTGGGATGTCTAATGACTAATAAGTTTCCCACCATTGGACATGTTCAACTAAAGGATAAATGACCACTTGTTAGAGATGTCGTAGAAGGGATTCTTGGACCTAAAATGAGGCTGGACTAGATGACCTCTAAGGTAGCTTTCAACTCTTAATATTCTTTGATTCTATTATTCTTTCAAAGTGGAACAAAGAAATTGTCCCAATAAATGAAATACAAATACCAAAATAAGAATTTTTAAGACTAAGAAATAATTGAGTGCCTGCTGCATGCAGTAAGCTGTACTTTACTTAAATACTTTATGATCAAAGAACAAATATATGTATATAATTCATAATAACTAGAAAACTAGCATGAAGCCAAGGAAATTGAATTTGTGTTCTAAAACTGTTGGTCACAATCTAATGACTGATTTTAACTTTTTCACTCTACCAAAAAAACTCTCTGGAAATAAAAATATACCAGTTAAAGGTACATTATGGTCAATCATCAGAACTATAGCACTCAATTGGACATGTGATAAGCTTCCTCATCTGTAAAATAACAGTTTGACAAAATGAGCTAAAATCCTTTCTAATTCTGAAATTCTAATTCTAATTCTGACTAACTTTGGATGTGATGGAACATAAATTCCACAAAGCCAACATACTAATTCCAAATAACCCAACAAGGCAACAAATGACTTTCTTCCTGTAAAAGAGATTCTATCCCTGTCACCATACTTCAGAAATTCAGGGTACACTTCCTTGGTTAGGTACTAGGATTGTAGACCACCTAAAGAAAACTGCGGCAGTGCAGTAGCGAAAATTTTAATAACTACACAGCAAAGAAACTTACTGAGTACCTATAAGCTAACTCTTCTGAAAACAGAACACAAGACAGTGGCTTAAACTGCAGCAGGTAGGTTTCAGGTCAGACATAAGAAAAATTTTTCTGATAGTGTTAGAAAACAGAAACCTAGTGACCATACTCAGGATTCATATCTTACCACTTTCATTGCTAATCTTCTCACATGCCTCTGCAGAGGATGAAGATTCCTTCAAGTATGGATGATCATCCCGAGAAGCTGGCCCTGGCCTGAGTGCAATTCTCTTCCCCCTCCTCATGCAAGTTCCCTGGATTTTTCCTTTAGCAATAGGAATATTACAAGGCTGAGAGGACTCCAGGGAAGAAAGGTTGATTTCCTGAGTGTTGGGAACATCAATAGCTTCTAGGATTGCTACATCTATGTCCTGAGCAAGCAACCTGGAGGCAGATGGATCCTCCTTACAAGTACGGTCACCAGCATCCTGCATAGGTTGCACATCCAAGCCTGGTGTTCTGACATGGCTCAGCCCCCAGGGTAAGGACACTGTGCCCAAGTCTGTAATTTGGTCAGGTTCTGGAGTAGTAGCTGTTTCTAGGTCTAAATGGATCTCCTCCTGGCTGTCTTTACGCTGAGGGGATGATATCAAAGTAGTTCTTCTCTTCTTACAAGGAAGCATTTTAAAGGTAAGCAGAATCCCAGTTCTGCTCCATCCTGAAACGATAAGAACAAGTACTCAACATTCCCATGCTAATTAGTGATAATCATTAACACCTCAAAGAAATACAGTGCTACTATATTCATGATACACATGCATCCCCATTAAATGAACTAATTCCCTTGAACAAAAGCACCTGTCAGTGTTCTCTTCCCTGAACTACAAGCAGAACCCATCTACTCCTCAATTAATCCCAGCACTATACAAGGACTGATATGCACACAGTTCTGCACCATATTATTTTGCTTTCATGTAATGTTTTCAAAGCATTTTTGTGTCTAGATTAACAAATCCAGAGGCCTTTAAAGATGGAAGAAGTATTTTTCAGATGCAGATTTCTTCCATAACAATAGGAATAAATATAAAGCACTGAACTTTACATTTATGCTAAAAAAAATTACTACTCAAATTTTAAAATGGAAAAAATATGATTTAGAAGTTCATATGAAAAAGACCTAGGGATTCAGATGAATGCAAACTCAAGATGCCTCTCAACAGACTGACTATTTTAAAAGCTAACACAAACTTAGGCTGCATTAAGAGAAGTGTGTAGTATAAGACAAGGTAGAGTAGCAGTCCTGCCACACTACACTGGTGAGAAAGGGGCATTAACAAGTTGGAAAACGATCAGAAGAGAACAACCATGATGGTGAAGTAAACTATGTTATAAGGACTGGTTAAGAGAATATACACTATTTAGACTAGAAAAAGGACCAAAGGGGAACAGGATAGCTGTCTTCAAGTAATGGCTATTACGAGAAAGATTAATTATACTTTATGTATATTCAAAGGCCAGAACTAGGACCAAGTGAGGGAAGTTACAGGAAGGAAACCAGTTCAATATAAGAACTTTATAACAATTAGAGCTCTTTAAAAATGTAATGAGTTGCCTTGTGAGACATTGAGTTCACTCTGCTGCATAGTAATCAAGCAGAATCTTAAAAGACCATCTGGTCAGGTATTTGTTGAAAAGACTCCTACACAGGGATGGTTCGACAAGATAATAACCTAACAAGTCCTGTCTGCTAGCTCTTAGATTCTAAATTGTAATGTCATATGAGAAACAGAACAGCACAAATAATGAAGAGGGAAAAGAGAGCCATTCTCTATGTCAGGAAGCCCTAGATTCAAGTTTGACACGTACTAACTAGATGTGTTACCTCGGCAAGTCAGTTAACCTCTCAATGCCCCCCAGAAAATTTTCCAAGGCTGTAAGTTCCAGAACAGTTTTCAGTCTGCACTGGTAAAAAGTTTCCTCAGAGGGAGTTTGCTGAACTGATGAAATCATGGGTCAGGACTCCTCCTCCTCCTACATACACCTATACACACACAGGATTATTCCCAACTCCTTTTTACAGATGAGGACACGGAGCCCTAAAGAGACTGAGTGACTTGCCCCAAGTATCAGTACTGGGATCGAAACCTGGGTTCCTCCTACTCTAATCTAGTTATCTTTCTATTGCACCAAGTAGATAACATCTCACGGGCTCAATAAACACTCAAACTTTCAGCAATATGACGATGGAAGCTGGGATGAAGATATTCTAGCCTAGTATTTTACAGCACCACAAAAGCAACGTAACGTAGTTACTTGCCCAAAGTTAATCTGTCGAAGGAACTTGGACTGGGACCCAGGGGCCAAGCTCCCAGCACCTCAATAGCATACACGGGGAGTCGGCTCCCAAAGAAGTCACCTGGTCCCTCGGGTACTGTGGCCTCACAGGAACAAACAGAGGAGGCGACTGCACTGCCCGCTGGAGCAAGGCCTCAGGGTCCCTGTTCCTGGAAAGTGGCTTCAGGCTGGCGTTCGCCCCCCAGCACCTTCCCAGGCAAGGCAGCCTCCTCACGCCTCCGGGCCTCAGCTTCTCACAAGCCCCCTCAGGCGAATGCTGACCCCCAAAGTCCACCAGGTGACCCCTGACCCCTAACTCCCGCCTCCCACCGTCCCTCACACATCCTATTTGGTGCGTCTGTTCTCAGCTCCTTCACTCTGTCTCTCTTTCCGTGATCTACACTCCCTGACTTCCACCCCGGAAGTCCCTTTCCCTCGCTCCCGCCTGACTCTTTCCCGCCCGGACCGCGCGACCCAGGCACCCTCACCGGCCGGCCTGAGCCCGCGGAAACTCCGCTCAGGCCACTACCGGAAGTCACTCGGCGTCTGGGACGGACGTGCGCGCCCCCGAACCGCGTGCCTGGAGGTTGGATCGAAACTGAGCATGCGCTCACGTCGGCCGACATCTTGAGTCAGGGCAAAATGAAGCCAGAGCTGACAAGTTTGTCATTGGTGAAAAAGTTAAAGGCACCTGGAGCCTCATTTTCTTCCCTATCTCCCACTCAACTGAGAGCTGATATTTTGAGGTGCACGAGGAGTGCTATTTGCTCACCATTAAGCATATGGCATGCAGGATTTGGGATCTGGAGAATTGAGAAGTAAAGTGTTAACTTAAATGGTTTCCAAATACAGTACCTTTCCTGGAGCCAAATCTGTGGGACCTTGGAAAAAGATTCAGGGACTGTTTTAAATCAAAAATACATCAAATATTGATGTATTTATGCATTATGAGCTCCTACAAGGACCTAGCTCCGTACTAAGTCCTACATGTATATGAAGAAAGTATAAAACACCATCCAAATATCTTATACTAAGATTTACTTAAAATCTTGGTGAATTCCGTAGTTTTTTAAGCAGGATCTTAAAGGCCAAATTTCCGTAGCTAAAGTGATGCTGAGAGTTGGTGTAAGGAATTATTTTCGAGGGAAGTGGTTCTGTTTGGGAGTGGTTTTTGTTTTTATTTTGTAAACCTATATAATAACGTGATCCCTAGAAGGATAATTGGAGAGAGGATATTCTAAATCCTGAGGACGTGATTTTTTTAATGCGCAGCTTTGGTGGTTTGGTCCTTTAATCGCTAACATCTAGAGTTTAGGAAGGGTTCCATAATAACACTGTGGTCACAGAAATGCACCGAAACAGCAATGATCTAATCAATAATGGAATTCAAACAGTCTGAAATTTGTTTTTCCACTTCTCAGTGTTCCTTGTCACCCAGAACATTCTGCTACTATTTTAAGACCTAGTCATCCGAGCAATAGGATTTCCTATGATAATCAAGGAAAGGAAGATTTAAATTGCCAGTCTCCTCCTTCTGGCCTCCAGATTTTTGCACTTTTCCCAGAATACTCGTAAAAAGGCGGGGCCTTTACCCCAGGAGCTTCGAAACTAGGCGTGGTCTCTTCTTCGGTATGTTTCGGAAAGTAGAGGGACCTCTGGTCTGAGATTGTTCGGAGAGAGGAGGAGGAAGGTTCGGAAAAGGGCGGAGCTTACGTCGCATCAGGACCAGTCTGGCTGCACCTGCATCTTTTAGCTCAGAGCATCCCTAGAGCATCTTAGGTGGACCCGCAGCTGGCACAGTGAAGCCAAGCCATCGCAGGAGAAGTCTTCCTTCTCTATTGCCCATATCGGCATCTTGCAGCTGCGGCCTTTGCAATAATAGAGGGGTGCAGGAGTTCTCAGGAAGCTGGGAACCCATTTACAGCAAGTGCTGCTGATTACGCCATGGCCGAGATCACCAATATTCGACCCAGCTTTGGTGAGTGGGGTTCAGGGTTGGGGAAATGAAGCAGGGGGTGGTTGGAACCATAGCAGAGATGCTAGATCCTAACTGCTGAGTAATGAGTTTGACCAAGAGCAGGGCCCTGGCAGTGTCCGACCCAGAAAAACCTAGGCCAGGAATGCTGGGCAGCCAGCAATGGACAGAACCTGGACCTTGGAGATGTGGACCGCAGGAGTGGGCAAGGCCAGGACTGGCACCAGACCAGAGCTAAGTAGTGGGGGGTGGGGGTGGGAGAAAGGTTTGAAAACCTTTCCTGGGTCACTGTCAGCACTGGGAGAGGTGAGAAACAAGAGGTGCACAGCGTAATTGAACCTCTCCTTTTGGGGTGCAGGTATGGGGAAGCCAAACCCTCCCCCTTAAGGCACGAAGGGCGGTGTCCCTTCCCCTCCCTACATCATAAGGCTGCAGGGGAGGGAGGTGGCACTGGAGATGGGGTATTAAGATGGCAGCTTGGGGATTGTGGGCTGAGTGGCTGGCAGCCAGGGGAGGCGGCCTCCCGGGAGTGAGGTTGGGGGAGGGGGTGCAGGAGAGGAACAGCTCCGAGCGGCTCTGCTGGACCTCTTGGACTGAGGGGCTGGGCTGCTCTCCCGGTGGCCTCATTCTGCATAGTAATGGTGGGGTCTGCCCAATGCTACCTAATGGCGTTTGGCGATGCTGGGCTGAGGGAATGACGTGATGTCTATTTCTGGGCCTCCTGGCTGCGCCTCGACTCTCCTTCCCCGGGCCTTTGTTCCCCGGGTCCCCCGGGCTGGCTCTTGGAGAGCGGCAGGAGGGGGATTCGAACCAGCGCCAGAGGGGCCGGAGCCGAAGCTGGAGGAGGAGGGGCGGGAGAGGCCTGAGCCCGGGGGAGGCCGCTTTGTGTACCAGAGAAAGCATTACGTCATCTCGGATCGGCCCGTCCCGGCCCAGCCCCACTTGGCCCCTGCTGGATAAGCTACGGCCCTGGGGGAGGGGAGAAGAGAAGAGAAGAGGGATGAGGTTGGGAAGGGAGGAAGCAGCCTTTTTCCTGTATGAGAGAGTCCCACTATTTGCTAGCGGACAAACCTTTAAGCTCCCAACTTTCTCAGTCTCCACTGCCCTGAAGAAGGAACGTCCCTATGTTCCCTATTGGTTTACCCTCCTGATGGAATGGTAATCAGGAGTGGTGAACAAGAGAACTTGTCTTTCCTCACGAGAGTCCCTTCTGTCCAGGAAGCTTGGTCATCAAGCCTTGAATGACCAGAGTGAGGACGACTGAAAGTGTTGCTTGGATTTGGTGACTTTCCCCACTCCCAAGTTTGAGGCCTTTGAAAGTGGGTCTAGGCTCAAAGGGCACAAGGAGGAAGGTATACAGTTTTAAAAATAATAATAAAAATCTATCTTGTAGAGTTTTTACACTTGTACCACTTCATCCCAGAGAAATCTCCAAATCCAAATCATTGACTTTATTTCCTTCTCCCACATCACCTGCATCTCCAGCTTCCTGTTCCACATTTGCAGTCATGTACTTCACCTTGGGGATGTCAATGATCTTCTCATCCTGTTACTTCTTCTTGTGACTCTGACTTCTTCCCTCTACTAATTCACTTCCTCTACTTTAGTAATAGGTTGTTTAATTTTTGTCCCAGATGACTAGTAGAAATGATCAGTATGGAAAAGGATACAGAAAGACTATCTTTCCTGAAACATCGCAAGAATGAGAATTGTCTGGGACAAGGAAATGGAAGGAAGCCTTTTTTGGAATCTAGGCAAGCTGGGAAGAACCCTAATGAGACGTGGGTTTCTTCATGTGCATAATGGGAGAGTTGGAGTTGTGGGCATCTGAAATCTCTTCCAGCTCTAGGTCTGAAATCCTATCATGCTGTGACATTTCCAAGTCTGTTTCCCTATCTGTAAAATGGGGGTGCTCCCAATACTACCTACTTCATTGAGTGGCTATGAAATAAATCACTATGTAAAGTGCTTTAAATATTTTAAATCATTATAAAATCCATTATAATTATCCCCATTTTGAAGATGAGAAAACAACCTCAGAGATGCTGAGTAACTTGCCTAGGGTCACACAGAACCATTAGATTCTAAGTTCTTTGAGGGCAAGGACTGTCTTTTGCCTCTTTTTGTATCCTCAGCCCTTAGCACTGTGCCTGGCACATAGTAGGCACTCTCTGATTGTTTATTGTTTGAACTATCCCTCAAACCCACGTCTTTTGACTTGAATACCATATGTTGTTTGTTTTTCCAAAAGAACAAAGCTCACTGTAATACACAACCACCCTAAAATTCTTTTTAACCACTATTTTCAATTGCCTCCCCAATCAAATCTTCGACTAGAATGAGTTTCAAAGATGGTGTAGAGTTTTGTTTTTTAATTCAGAAGTGCATTTAACTAAATGACCTCTGATGTCCCTTCTTGTCCAGTGATTTCCTCCTGCCTTGTCTCTTGATATGGAGTGGGGTGCTATAATGATCAGGAACATATATTGAAAAGTGAGAAATAGTGAGAAGTGGTCTCTATTAGTGGTGTCAAACACAAATAGAAATGGGGGCTACTAAATCATACATAAGGATCTCTGCACAGGCTGCATATTCGCTTACTTTTAAAATATAATGTTATGTATGTTTTATTGCATTTTTATTTATTTTGTTAAATATCTGCCAATTATATTTTAATCGGCTTTGGGCTCCACTCAGATGCAGTTGGCCTGTGAGTTTGACACCTCTGATTCACAAACTGGAAAATCAGTATCTTTTTCATCCTCAGCTCCTCTAGGAGGTGGAAATTTCACAAACTATGATAACAAGAAGGAAGATGCTATAATAGCAATGTAAATCACCACATAGCTTAGTATAGGACCTAAATTTTATAGGTATGCTCTCATCTAGTGTTCCATCTCTTAGATGTCAATTTCAAATAATTCGCAGAAAATACCTCCTGGGTCTCATTTCCCTTCTCTGCTAAATGTGGAGATTGAATTAACTATCACTAGCATTCCATGCTGCTATAGTTCTACCTTCTCATAGTCTTACCCAGTTTTTCTCTCCTAGAATCCTTCAACGTCCATGTTCGCTAATCAGGAACAAATAATTTTCATGAAAACACTATTTTGGTGAATAAAAGCTACAGAAAGCATGTCCTTCTGACTGATGCCTTGTTTAAAGCTTGCACCGGCCTCCCTTCATGCTTGATGAAGCTTCTGTGTTTCTCTAGCTATATACATTGATTCAACAAGTATTTGTAAAAATACACATTATGGATAAGACATTATGTTAGGTACTATTTGGGTAGACTGCTGCAAAGGTTTAATAAGCCTTGATTTCTCCACCCCTTCTAGGAGCTTACCCTGTACATTACTACCACAACAGAATGTGGCTCCCTTCCCCTTTTATAGTCTAAATATTATACATCAATCTGGGTACCTTTGATGTATTTTGTTTACATTGTTTGTACCTTAGCATTGCCTTTTTTAGCTGGGTATTGTAGTGTACGCCTGTAATCTCAGCTACCAAAATGGTTGAGGCTGATGGATCTCTTGAATTTTGAAGTTCTGAATGGCAGTGGACTAAACTGATTAGGTGTCCATTCTAAGTTCAACATCAATATGGGTGAGCTACCAGGAGTGAGGGGGCCATAGGTTGCCTAAGGAGGGGCAAACAGGCCCAGGTTGGAAATACAGGATGTCAAAGTTCCGTTTCCAATTGATCAGTAGTGGGATTGGGCTCCTGAATAGCGCCTGAATTTTCAGGCTGGGTAAAATAGAGAGATTTAGTCACACAAAAATTTTCTTTAAAAATTATCTTTTAAATTTTATTACCTTTTCCTTCTTGGGTTGTATCGGTGTTCATGTATTTCTAGAGCTGGATGTGAGCTAGCGATCATTTAGTCTAACCTGCCACCCCCATGTAAGAATTCCCTCCTCAGCATCACTGACAGGTAGACATCTAGTTTCTGCTTGAACAGCTGAAGTGACAGGGAGCTCACTGCTTCATAAGATAGTCAGTTCCATTGTTGTACAACTCTAATTGTTAGAAAAATCTTCTTTATATTGAGTTAAATTTGCTTCTTTATAACTTCATTCATTCAGCATTTTTTAATTTAAATTTTTATAGATAGCTTTTATTTTTACATCAGTTTCATTTTCCAAATGTGTCCTCTATCTTCTCCTACCCCATGAGTCATTACTTGTAACTGAGACTTTAAAAGGAAAAAAAAAGGGGATAAAGCAGTTAATTAAAACTAATCAGCATTGTCAACTGAGTATGACAACACATGCAGTGTTCCATGCCTAAAGTCCCCCTACCTTTGCAAAGGAGAGCAGGAGGTATATTTCTTCATCTCTGCTTCAGGACCAAGCTTGGTAATTATAATTACACAGTATTCACTTGCAAGTTTTTTTTTTTGTTGTTGTTTCCATATACATTGGTATAGTAATTGTCATATGCATATAGTAATTATGCTTATGATAGCATATGCATACTATCAACTAGAATTTTATTAAGTACCTGCTATATGTGTGTCAAGCACAGTGCTAGATACTGGGAATAAAAAAAAAGACCCTAGTCCCTGCCCTTAAGGAGCTTACATTCTTATGGAGTGGGTTGATGTAGAAATTAAGACAATATGAATACAGATAAACTAACAATCTATCAATTGTTTTGGTCTTTAAAAAATATTTTATTACTTTGACTGTTTCATTGTTAATTCTATTTTTTCACCTTTAATCTTACTAATTTCCTCTTTCATGCAGGTTGGTGTTTGTTGATTTGTTGATTCTCTTGTTTTTAACCACATATTCAGCTGATTAATTCTTTCTTTTTGTCAATATAAGCATTTAGGGACATAAATTTGATTTTGGGGATTGGTTTACCTATATCCCATATATTTTTATATTTTATATTACTATTTTCATTTTTAAAAAATATTTTTTTCTATAATTTGGCCTTTGACCCTTGCATTATTTAGCAGGTCATTGTTTAGCCTCCATTTAGGGCTATATCTTTTGGCCAAATATAGGCAATTGATTATAATTTTATAGTGTTATAGTCTATTAAAAGAATACCTAAGATTTCTGTCTTTCTGTATTTATTCATAAGTTCTTTATGTGCTAGATCATTTTCAACTTTTGTAAAACTACAATGCAATTTTTAAAAAGAAATACATTCTTTACCAAACTCACCTTATGTCCATCAAATAGTTTTTTTCAATACTCTTTTTAAGTCTGTCACTTCTGTCTTATTTTTGATTTTTCATATCCCATTAATGGAGTATTGAAGTTTCCTACTTTTATTACCTTATTATTTTGCTATACGCATTTTGATCCTCTTCCTTTAAAGATTTGGTTGCTTTGATGTTTGGTGCATGTGTATTTAATAGTGATAGTGTTTGATTGTCTATGGAACCTTTAGGCATCATATTTCTGCTTGTCAGTCAATAAAGATTTAAGTGCCTAGTATGTGCCAGGCACTGAGCAAAGCGCTGGGGATACAAAGAAAGGCAAAAGACAGTCTCTGACACAATCTAGTGGGGGAGACGTGTAGACATCTATGTACAAATAAGCCATATACAGTATCAATGGATAGTAATCAACAGAAGGAAGGCAATAGAATTAAGAAGGATTTATACAGGCTTCCTGAAGAAGGTGGGATTTTAGCTGGAACTTGAAGGAGGCTAAGAAAGCCAGGAGGTACAGTGGAGGAAAGAAGAGCATTCCAAGCATGGGAGATAGCCCAGGGAAATCTCCAGAGTTGGGAGGAGTTCCTTGCTGGAGGCCAGTGTCATTGGATCACAGAATATTTGCAGGTGGGGGGTGTAAGATGTAAGAAGACTAGAAAGGCAGGGGGGACCAAGTTATGAACAGATGAGGGACTTTGACTGCTCTTCATTTGTTGCAAAGTTCTCTTTTCCTTAAGCCATTGCTGAACCTAACAAATTCCTCTGGCTATGAGTGATATTTTATTGTTTGTGTTTTTCACTGCCTCCTGGAAAAAGTGATAAGAGAACTGACCAAATATATCAATGCTAATAATCTTACAATGGGAACCACTTCACTAGTATCAAGTGCAACAGTTAATGGCAATAAATTAAATTCCACCCAACTGGTAGAGGGAGGTTTAATTGTTTAGCCATTTCTTGCCTATTTTTTTTTTGTTTGCTTGTATTTTATTCTGGAGGCAATAGGAAGCCACTGGAGCTTATTGAGTAGGAGGCATGACATGTATACTTTAGAAAATTCACTTAGACAGCTGAAGATGGATTGGAGTGGGGAAAGACTTATGGCATGCAGACCCAGCAGCAGGCTACTGCAATAGTCTAGAGGTAAGGCGATGAGGGCCTGCACCAGAGTGATGCCATGTTAGAGGGGAGAAAGGGGCATATATAAGAGGTGTTATAAAGGTAAAATCCACAGTCCTTGGCAACACATTGAATACAGGGGGTAAAAGAGAGTAAGGAGTTGAGGATGACAGGTTGGAAGTCTGGGCAACTAGAAGGATGGTAGTACAGTCAACAGTAATAAGTATATTTGGAAAGGAAAGGGATGTTGGGGGTTGGGGGGGAACAGATAATGAGATCAGTTTTGGACATGTTGAGTTTAAGATGTCTACAGGACATCCATTATAGGATATCTAATGGGTGGCTGGAGATTTGAGCCTGGAGGTCAGCAGAGAGGTTAGGGCTGGATAAGTAGACTTGAGAATCATTAGCTTAAAGATGACAATTGAATACATGGGAGCAGAAGAGATCACCAAGTAAAATAGTATAGAGGGAGAATAGAAGAGGGCCCCGCACAAAACCCTGGAGGCATACCCTAGGACTGGACTTGACCTAGATGAAGATCTGGCAAAGACAGGAGTAGCCAGTTAGGTGGCAGGAGAACCAAGAGAGAGTGGTGTCATGAAACTCTAGAAAGAGAGAAGAGAATGTTAAGGAGGAGAGAGTGATCCACAGTGTCAAAAGCTGCAGAGGACCAGGAAAATGTGAATTGAGAAAAGACCATTAGATTTGGCAGTTAAGAAATCATTTGTGTCTCCTGATGCTTCTACTTTGAATTCAACACTTTCTAAGAGGCAGCACAAGATTTGGAGTCAAAGGACTTAATTTCGAATCCCGTTTCTGCCACTTCTTGTATGACTTTAGGCAAATCTGTTTTCTGTTTTCTCGACAGTAAAATGAGTAGGCTGGACAATATCGCCTCTAAGGTCCCTTCTAGGTCTAAATTTTATTATACATGAAGTAAAAGCAAATAAAAACTAAGTAAATACAAAGTAATTTCTGGCTGAATGGCACTAGCCGATATAGGCCCCGTTGTAGGATGAGGCACTTGAATTAAGTGAAGGAAGGTAGGGAGTCTTAAGTGAAGCTGAGGAGGGAGTGCATTTCAGGCATGGTAGATGGCCTGTGCAAAAGCAGGAAGTCAGGAGATCATGGAATCATAGATGTAGAAGAGGTCTCAGAGGCCAGCTGGCCCAACCATGGTAGAATGTGGTTCAGGGAAAGGCAATTAGGCCATTGAAGATTAGTAATGTGCAATATGCCTGGAAAGATAGGCTGGAGCCAGATTGTGAAGGGCTTTACACACCCAACAGAGAAGTTTTAATTTTTACCCTAAAGGCGTTTGGAAGCCACCAAAGCTTATTGAGCACAAAGTAACATTAGCAGACCTATTGTTTAGAAATCGTAATTTTAGGAGCATCTAGATGGTACAGTGGATAGAGCATCAGCCCTGGAGTCAGGAGGATTTGAGTTCAAATACTAGTTGTGTGACCCTGGGCAAATCACTTAACCCTGATTGCCCCCCCCAAAATATCAACTGTATAGATTGGGGGAGGGCAGATGAAGGGGCAAGCAGAAATACTAGATGCAGGGAAACCAATTAAAAGATTGTTACAATAGTGATGAGGGCCTGAACCAGGGTGGTAGCCATGAAGGGGATAGTAAGTACTATAGAGATAGAATCAACAAGACTTAGCCACTGATTGGATAGGGGTCTGTGTGAAGAGTCAGGGATGACTGCAAGGTTGAAAATCCGGGTGACTAGAAGGATCATGCAATTGTGGTACAGTGTAGACAAAATGAGAAAATTGAGGAAGAAAAGAAGGTTTGGTGGGGGGGAGGGAGATAATGAGTTCTATTTTGGACATGTTGAATTTAAGAGATCCAAAGGATATCCAGTCAAAAACATCCTATGGAAAGTTAGTGATAGAGAATGGAAACTCAGGTGAGATAATTCTCTGCCCTTGTCTTGCCCTCGAAAGGTGCACAAAGAAGTCTTCTCAGCCTTCCACATGACAATGCTCCAGAATGTTAGAGACAGCTAGCATGTCTTCACCAAGTTCAACATCCCCAGTTTCCTCAACTATTTCTCACATCATATTGTTTCCAGATCCTTCACCATCCTGGTTTCCTTCTCTGGATGAGCTCTAGTTTGTCACCTTCCCTCTTTAAGATATACCCGGGGCTAAAAACAGTACACCCAATGTGATCTGAGCAGCTCAAGGTGGTGGTTCAACTCTTATCCGTACAGCCTGAGCTTTTTTTTTTTTAATTTACTTATTTTTAGCCTTAGCTTTTTTTGTCAGTCACTTCACTCATTGACTCATATCAAGTTTGTCCTTCTCTGAAACCAGACTCTGGATCTTCATATGAATTGCTATCAAGCATCATCTATGACCCTTCTTTAATATTTTACCGTATGTAATCTTTTTTAACCTGAATGAAGAACTATATATTTCTCCTTGTTAAAATTCTTTTTGTTGGTTCCAGCTCAGCCTTGTGATGTGTCAAGATCCTTTTGACTTCCGATTCTATTGAGCCCAAGCATGAGTCCACTTGCATTGCTATGACAGCCCCCAAAAAGCTAGTGCCATTGCCATCTTAGGCTACTTTAAGAGAGGTGTGGACCAGAAAAAATTTTTCTCTGGTCTGGTCTCAATTTCTTCAAGTGTAAAATGGGGGTAATGATAGCACCTGCCTCAAAGAATTGTTATAAGGGTCCAATGAGATAATTGTAAAGTGCTTGGCATAGTGCTTGGGACATAGGCACTATATAAATGTTAACTATAATAATAATAATTATCATTAATAATTATCATATTTGTATCATTATATTTAGACTAATAATTATCATATCAATAATTAATAAATAATTATCATTATTATTATTACCTACCTGGCAGGATTGTTGTGAAGATCAAATGCAATAAACTCTCAGCACAGTGCCTGGCACTTAGTACCACAGTAAATGCCATGTGACTATTAGCTAGTAGTAGTTGTTATAATAGTAGTAGTAGTAGTAGTAGTAATAGTAGCTCCAGTACCTAGCACAGGTTCTGGCACATAGTAACATAGTAAGTGCTATATGAATGTTAGCTATTATTATTATTATTATTATTTGTAGCTCCAGTGCCTAGCACAGAATCTGACACATAGCAGGTACTTGATTGTCAAAGGTCATTTTGGTAAGAAGTAACAATGTTGAAATTCAAACCCAAGCCTTCTGTTCCCAGATCTAGTCATTTTTTCCAATATCAGTTCTACTTAGCCCCAGAGGGCAGAAATAGGAACAAAGGGAGAGTCAGAAGAGAGGAGAAGTCCCAGAGGGAGAAATTTTGACTCAAAGTAAGGAAAACTTCCTCATGGTTAGAACTATTCAAAATGGAAAGGGCTGCTTTAACAGATAGTGAAGAGATGTTTTGGGATGAGTCAGCGGGGAGGACCCTGTTTAATTATGGGTTAGTTTAGGTGGCCACTGAGTTCCTTTCCAGCCCTAAGATTCTGTAACTCTGAATGATTGAATATGAAGTGACATGGGGCAGGGGAGATGAGAAAGGTAGTCCTCCAGCCTTGACTGTGCTCTGTTCTCCCTCAGATGTATCCCCAGTGGTATTGGGACTCATCGGGGCCACCGTGCTGGTGGTGTCTGTGTCTGTGACAGTCTTTGTCTGGACCTGCTGCCATCAACAGGCTGAGAAGAAGCACAAGACGCCTCCTTACAAGTTTATCCACATGCTCAAGGGCATCAGCATCTACCCGGAGACACTCAGCAACAAGAAAAAAATCATCCGTGTGAGGAGAGACAAAGGTGGCCCAGGGCGGGAAGGTGGAAGAGGGAATCTATTGGTGGATGCAGCTGAATCAGGTCTCCTAAGCCAAGAGAAGAGTCCTGGGGTGCTGAGCACTAGTCCTTGTATAGAGCAGCTCCCCATCAAGGTGGACTATGGGGATGAACTGAGCCCAGTTCAGAGCCTGACCCCTGGGGGAAGCAAAACAGCTTCCCCATCTTCCCCAGAAGAAGATGTTATGCTGGGGTCCCTTACTTTCTCAGTGGACTATAATTTCCCTAAAAAAGCCCTGGTAGTGACAATCCAAGAGGCCCACGGGCTGCCAGTGATGGATGACCAGACCCAGGGTTCCGATCCCTACATCAAAATGACCATCCTCCCAGACAAACGGCACCGTGTGAAGACAAGAGTGCTACGCAAAACACTGGACCCTGTGTTCGATGAGACCTTTACTTTCTATGGCATCCCCTACAGCCAGCTGCAGGATCTCGTGCTGCACTTTCTGGTCCTCAGTTTCGACCGATTCTCCCGGGATGATGTCATTGGTGAGGTCATGGTGCCACTGGCTGGGGTGGATCCCAGCACTGGCAAGGTTCAGCTGACCCGGGACATCATCAAGAGAAATATCCAGGTGACATGGGCAGCACGGGGCAGGGGAAAGGGCGATACCTCTGGGTGGGAGTGAGGAAGGGGTAAAGCTGCTGAAGAATGATAATGTTAATTCATATTTATGTGATGCTTTAAGGTTTATGAAAGTCTCCTCTCCTGTAAAGTAGAAGTAGGTACCATAAGATTTATTATAGCTATTTTACAGATGATAAAACCAAGGTAAACCAATTAAAGGACTAGACCAAAGGCACACAGCTAATATGGATCGGGAGGGGAGCTTAAATCCAGGTTCTCTGAGTCCACACATCTAGTACTCATTGTCCTTCCAGTGTCATTGGGGGGAGGGGAAAAATGAGGAAAGGAATAAGCATTTATTAAGCACCTGCTTTGTCTGTGCTAATAAATATGATCTCAGTTCATCCTTACGACAACGTGAGAGTGGAGGAAAGACAAAGATAGTGGTGGTGCTGTATAAGACATCCCTAGTGGTTGAGTGGGCATTTGATTAGAGCCTCTGACATAACCTAGGAAGGAGCAGTTATGATAATAAGCCAAGCTTCTGAAATTCTGCTCATTTGTACCATGTTGAGAGTACGCTGCTGTGTCATAGAGAGAGCATTGAATTTGAAGTTGTAATACCTGTATTTGAGGACTGGGTTCACCACCTACTTCTGTGACCTTGGGCAAGCTCAGTTTCCCCATCTGTAAAATGGAGAGACTACTTACATTATCTACCTCATCAAGTTGTTATGAGACTCAAATAAAGTAATGAATGCAGTCATTCTGTCAATAAGCGTTTAATGAGCATCTGCTTTGTGCCAGGCACAAAGGGATACAAAGAAAGGTATAAATCCCTGCCCTCAAGGAGCTCACAGTCTATGGGGGAGATAACATGCAAACAACTTTGTACAAACAAGATGCATACAGGGTAAATTGGAGATAATCAATAGAGGGAAGGCACTAACATGAAGCGGAATCAGGAAGGGCCTCCTCTAAGAGGTGGGATTTTAGCTGGTAATTGAAGAAAGTCAGAAAGGCAGGAGACAGAGCTAAGGAGGGAGAGATTTCCAGGCACTTTAACTGTAAGTCAATACATAAATGAGTTACTAATATTATTAATATTAGTACTGTAACTCATCTGTTTCCTATCCAGGGCTTGAAAAGTAAATATACACCACTGGTTTACCTTACATATGCTTCTGTTCTCCCTTCCTACTCTTCTTCCCTTGTATATATTTGAAATGGAAGGCTCTCATTCCCAAACCCATAGTTGAATATTCATAAACAGAGCCAGTTTTAAGGATAAAGGAGTAAATGACCATATTGTGGATACCCCTCTTCCTTAATTCAATTAAATTAAATTCAATAAGCACATATTTAATAAGCATTTTCTATGCTAAATGCTGGGAATAGAAAGACAAAAATGAAACAGCCTCTGTAAGCCCTGTAAGCTCCTTAAGGGCAGGTAGAGAGAGAGTAGACAAAATATACATATAAGTAAATACAAAATCATATATAGATATAGATATGTATATGTATTGTATATATGTACATATTATAACATAAATACATATATATATATATATATATATATAACTTTGTTACTGTTGAGTCATTTCAGTCATGTCCAACTCTCCATGACCCCATTTGGGATTTTCTTGGCAAAACTACTGAAGTGGTTTGCCATTTCCTTCTCCAGCTCATTTTTACAGATGAGAAAACTGAGGCAAACAGGGTTGAGTGACTTGCCCAGAATCACACAGCTAGTAAGTGTCTGAGGCTGGATTTGAACTCAGGTCTTCCTGACTTCAGGCCCAGTGCTCCATCCACTGCCCATTATATATCTATATCTATATCTATATCTATATATATGTTATATATAATATTATTATATTATAGATACATATATAAATATATACATATACATACACATAGACACATATATGTGTGTGTATAAAATACAGAGTCATGTCAGGGATGAGGAAGGACTAAAAACTTGGGAAATTAGGAAATAGTTTTTCCACTATCCATCCCCCAACTCTACCCTGAAATCCCCTCCATTTTACCATAGCACATCATAGCTGGAAGAGACCTTAAAATTACCTGGTGCCTTCTTCTACTTATGAAGACAATGATATCCAGAAAAATAAAGTGACCTTGCTGAAGGGCATTCAGTGGTAGTTCAGGAAGTAATATATAGCTCTCCTGGCTCTCAATTCCAGCCTTAGAGTTTCATTCCTTTAACCTAACAGGGAGTGGTGAGTGCCCCCATCACTAGAGGATTTCAAGCAGAGGAATTTATTGGTGCTTTTGCAGATTAGATTCATCCATTGGGTTAAGGTTAGATTAGATAACCCCTGAGGTCCCTTTCAGTTGTAGTTCTGGGATTAAGGCTTTGATTCCTGCTGCCATGTCCTCCCAGGAGAAGAAATACTTTGATCTGTTCTTAGACATGCGTACTTTTGTATGTGTTAAGCCTTTCTCGAAAACGTGTCTTTTATTAGAGGGGATCTGGTGAGGGTGTTTGTTGTTCAGTTGTTTCAGTCGTGTTCAATTCTCCATGACCCCATCTGGGGTTTTCTTGGCAAAGATACTGGAGTGGTTTGCCATTTCCTTCTCCAGCTCGTTTTACAGATGAAGAAACCGAGGTAAACAGGGTTAAGTGACTTGCCCAGGATCTTACAGCTAGTAAGTATCTGAGACTGAATTTGAACTCAGGTCTTCCCGCTTCCAGATCCAACACCCTAAACACTTGACCCCCTGACTGGTTAATAAATATTTATTAAGCACTTACTGCGTGTAGAGAGCTCTGTGCCAGAAGCCTAGGGAAATTAAAAAGTTTCTGTAAAACATAGTCCTGAGGGGCAGCTAGGTGGTGCAGTGGAGAGAGTGCTAAGCTAGTGGAATCAGGAAGACTCATCTTCATGAGTTCAAATCTGGCCTCAGACACTAGCTGTGTCACCCTGGGCAAGTCACTTAACTCCAATTGCCTTTAAAAAAGAAAAAAGAAAAAAGAAAAGAAAACATGGTCCTAGCCCTACTGGAACTCAGTCTGGTAGAGGGATAAAATACCATTCCAGATTGCTGTAATCCACAACATCCCATGAGAATGGCCTTCAAGAGCTACAAAACAAAATGCTATGTGAGGTCTGAGTGGGTGACAGTGGTTGGTACTGTTGGAGGATCAAGGAAGACGTCCTAGAGGAGGTGGCATTTGATTGGGCCTTGAAGAATACTTGTTCAATTGAACAGGTAAAAAGAGGTCATTCCAGGCTTAAGGAGCAGTGTAAATATAGGCTTAGAGAATATGTGTGGAGTTGTGGGGAAAGAGATTATTCAGTCTCCCTTCCACCCCACCCCCACTACACCCCCAAGCATCGACCTTCTCCTGGCAGAGCCTCCCTCTGCCGTGGTGGCTGCAGCCCTTCCAGTTTGCCTTCAAGTCTGGCCAGGCTCCTGCCCTTCTCCTGAGCCTTTGACTGGCCGTGTTCCCTCTCCTCCCCCACATTAGTCAGTCCCACTTCCCCAGTCCTTTCCATAGGATTGGGGAACATCCATAGCCCTGGGTGATCAGCCAAATTCCTACTGACTACAGCCAGGGCATCACCAGCCTTTTGGACCCCTCTTATGGTGATGGTGGTGGTGGTGGTGTTGGAGGGAGAAGGAAGACGGACCCTTCCCCACAAAAGCTACAGCTGAACAACAGACTGGGCCTGGACTCAATGGAGAGAAGGGAGGGGGGAGATGGGGGATAGATTTGGTCTGGGAACATAGTAGCCCCAAATCCAGGGCACTAGGCAGAGAACTCAGTCAATGACATTTGCTAAATAACCAGGGGCTCTTGGCATGAGCTGTGTTTCTTTCCACTTTATTAATTCCCTTCAGAAGGAATAAGCTGGGACTGGGAGACAGAGCCGCCCCCCACCCCCAGTCCCCTCCAGAAGGCCCCAGAGCAAGACAATACAAGAGTTTGTACAAAGAAATCCCAGACTACCAGGGCTCCAGAGGTGTCATCTAATCCAAACCCCTCCTTCCAATGAGGCAGCCAGCCATTAATTCATTAAACATTTATTAAGTACCCACTAGGCTTCTGACGGGAAGGGAGAAGGGGACGTGCTCCCTGCCCTCTTGGAACTTATAGACCAATGAGAATGGAGACATAAGACACAAAAACATAACTACAGTACAATATTATTACCCAACAAGAACATTAGAGAAGCACAGTGTTGGGTGAGGTCTGAAGGGGAGGAGCATTACCTGTAGGGGAAATCAGGGAAGGCTCTCTTGAGGAGGCAGTATAAAGGAAAGACAGGAAGATACAGAGGTAAGAAATTGCAGGTCACGTTTAGGGATCGCCTTAGACATCATAAAGTCCGACTTGTGTGCCCTTAGATTCTGCTCATCTGAGAATTAGCTAATCTAATGTTATTAATAAAGGGATTAAGGCCTGAAAAAATGAATTTAGGGAGATAGAGGCAGAGGGATAGAAGAGTGCAGTTTGGCTAGAGGATATCATATACATTGGAGAGGAATACAAGATAAGGCTAGAGAGAGCTGATGAAGCCAGATTGTTTCTAGAGGAGACAATGTAATGTGGTAGCTCAGTGGATAAAACGCCAGGCCTGGAGTCAGGAAGACCTGAGTTCAAATTTGACTTCAGACACGTACTAGTTGTGTGACCCTGGGTAAGTCACTTAACCCTGTGTTCCTCAGTTTCCTCATCTGTAAACTGAGCCGGAGAAGGAAATGGCAAACCACTTTAGTATCTTCGCCAAGAAAACCCCAAAGGAGGTCATGAAGAGTCAGACACTACTGCAAAACTCCTGAACGAGATCTGATGACACCAGACTGATTCTAAGAGAAACAATGGGACATAGTAGAAAGAGCACAGTATCTGAAGTCAGAGTTCTAGTTTGCCTGCTGTGCAATCTGGGTAGATCACTTATCCTCTCTGAGCCTTTTTCCTTATCTATTCCTTAAGAATCTGGGATTCTTAATCTTTTTTGTGTAATGGCCCCACCT